ACGAATACAGTATCTTTGTTTATAACATTTCAATACGTCTCATTGATCGATTATCGTTGCAAAAACTTTCACTGCTGTGATTGTTATCATATGTGGTAGATATGTATTACAATACATCTTTTAGAGCCTCACTTAGATTTGTCGATAAAGGAGCACAGCTAAAATTAAGACCATAGTGGAGATGGCCGTGTTCTCATTCCGGTCCAGTCAAAGAATTTTCGGGTTGGAAAACTTCTCGACTTCCTTGGGAATAGGGTATTATTGTGCTTGCCACACAATATACGAATGCAAAAATGGTGCAGATTAATAGCGAATTCGTTTATTCCCAGCTTGGTCAACCTCACTGCTGTCAAAACGTTTTATTATACGCTTGGGTTGGAAACTAGTTCTACACGAGTTTTAACTCCAAAACCGAAATATTTTACAGTTTCGCAGTTAGATTCACCAATACATTGAAACAGACCTGTCAAACCAATTTTGTTTTTAATGTACCGCGGTTGGGATCAACAATTTTCAAAAACAAAAAAAAATATAATGAAAAAAAAACTACTTTCCGTAGTGATTCAGTAGTTTCTGAAGTTACTCAAAAAGTATGCGAAGTGGTTATGTACTTCGTCAAGTAAATCCAAATGCTTCCGAGTTATTTAGTACATGCTGAAGCAATTCCAAAGTTTTCCGAACGAAATCAAAACTTTATCATTCCAGTACTTTGAAAAATGCAACTTAATTTTTCGCAAGTGATTCCACACTTTTCCAAGTGATTCACAATGTGACGAATATATTCTTAAGTTATCCGAGATAAATCAAAACTTTTCTACTTTAGTTATTCAACAATTTTATTAAGTAATTCAGAAATAGTGATTCCAAACTTTTTCGATGTGATTTAGTACTTTTTGAAGTTATTTCTAAATTTTCTGAAGTAATTCAATACTTTGTGATGTTTTTGAATTTGATTATTTTTGGGATATTTAACCTACAGCTTGTTCATCTCAAACATCCTGAAGTGATTTCAAGCTTTTCCGGAGTAGTTCAGAGCTTTCAGAAGTAATTCCAAAAGTTTTTACGTTTTTCGACAATTTTTAGGTAAGGTTTTGGGAGGTGATACAATGGACCGTATGAATAAAAGTGTATACTTAAGAGTACGCTGCATAAGAACATCATGGGAGCATTTGCTCAAATTGTTTTATTCATACGGCCTAATATTCAATATGAATGTTGCGATATGTTTCCAAAGTTATGTGCGCAAAGCAATTGCTTAAAAGTAATTGGTAAAAAAAGAAAGATTGACTTTTTCTACCTTGCTTTTTTCCGATTCTCCAAGCTCTTGTCCAAATTTGAGGCAAATTGGGCAACATTTAACGATTTCTAAAGCAGGTTGTTTGGGAAAAATCATCAAAATGTATGGATAAATACCATGGTTTCGTTTCGCCACTAGGTGGCGTTGTAAGCGTGCAAAAATTCTGCACACTCACATGTTGATGGATAGCGGCGCCGGTGGTGTAGTAGTAAGCGTGATTACCTTTCTCACCCCAATGGGCCTGGGTTCAATCCCTTTCGGCGCCGTCGCGATTTTCTGAGGCATAAAATCTCTGGTAACGCCTTCCTTCGGAAGGGAAGTAAAGCCGTTGGTCCTCGGTCCATTAGTTGATAGGTCGGTTAGTTAGGGTTCAGAGTGGGAGCTGCCTCCCTGACGTCGGTAGCTTTGGTACTCAATACGGTAAACAAGATCGACGGAAAACACATCGAGAGATCGAACATTTTGATGTACGATGAAACTTACGTAAAAATGAACTTTGGACAAATCCCGGGCCAAAATTTTTACTTTGCTAAACGTAAGGAGGATGCTCCGGATAAATTCAAATTTGTCTTTGCAGATAAATTCACTCGCAAGTTGATAGTTTGGCAAAGCATCTGCAGTTCTTCATCAAAGGTTTTCATCACTATGAATGGAAAACTTTACAAGGAGGAGGATCTCCAGAACATAATTTTGCCATTCATTCAATCACACGAAGGTCCCGTAAAATTTTGGCCTGAATTAGCAAGCTGCCATTACAGCCTTACAGCCGCGATGTCATAGAATGGTATAAGCAGTCGATATTATTGAGAAAAGTATCAATCCGCCAAATTGTCCCGATTTTCATCCCATTGAAATATGTTGGGCAATTATCAAGCGCAAATTGAAGAAATGTGGCAAAACACCATCTGATTTGGAGAAGTGGTGGAAAAGGATGGTAGATGAGGTTGACAGTACTACTGTGCAAGACATGATGAGAGGTTTTTTTTGTTGTAGTTGAAGATGCTAATTTCAAATAACAGACTGTAGTGGTAATTTTTATACGATAGATGGAGTAGATGAAAGCATAGAGTTGATAGTTCCGTTAGAGTACGGCAGTGTGAAGATTGCATATAGATATTAGAATAGCGAGCTAGGACAACTTTTAAGGAAGGTACAAATCGTTTTTTTCATCTCTCTTTACCAAACTCCCCCTTTGGAGAGGGATGGTGTCCCCCCCGCCACCACTGGCAAAAAGAGATGAAAACCGACCCGCTCAAGTACCAACTGTGTGTTTGAAACAGTTCTACCGATTTTTACCGCACTTCAGTTGTTATTTGAAGGAAGGCATCCAGTCGTAGGTTTGGAAATTGCAACTATTGTTACTTGAGCGGGTCGGTTTTCATCTCTTTTTGCCAGTGGTGGCGGGGGGGGGGGACACCCCTCACCATCCCTCTCCAAAGGGGGAGTTTGGTAAAGAGAGATGAAAAAACCGATTTGTACCTTCCTTAAAAGTTGTTCTAGCTCGCTATTCTAATATCTATATGCAATCTTCACACTGCCGTACTCTAACGGAACTATCAACTCTATGCTTTCATCTACTCCATCTATCGTATAAAAATTACCACTACAGTCTGTTATTTGAAATAAGCATCTTCAACTATGTAAATCGTTGACTTCACGTAGTAGTAATACTAAAAAACATATAGTCAAAGTATTTTTTGTTGTATTTTTCTTTGTTTTTGTACTTTATTTCCGTTTGGAGAAATGACCTATTTTGTGCGGCAAAATTCTAAATGGAACAGACTTTATGAGCACATCCATGGTCACATAAGAATAGTTTGTGTATAGTTGTTGTGTAGTGCTCATAATTATTATACAAATAATGCTCATGCTCATAGTTAGTAATTCAGGTATATCCGTGGCATGACTCTTCCTATGCGGGAATATGGAAAATATACGATGTAACGCAAATTTTTTGACAGCTCGGCGCGATTTTACGCACACCATCATATCGTCTGACTCGCAACCCGAAATCGTTTTTTTTTCAGTGCGCAGGTTGGAACTGAACCAGGTTAAAAACAAATTCACTATAAGAAATCTCATTGGAAGTGCTCAAAGAACACTAAGTTGAGGGGGTCAGAGGCAAAGGGGTATAAGTGATTTTGATCCTTTCTCTTCATCGACTTTCTCTTTTGATAATCACGACTTTACCAACCAATTTCACACTATTTCCGCTACATAGTTTGATAAAGGGGGTATCATCTGTCATGCAGGATAGCAACCGCATCAAGGAATATGTTTACCGTTGAGTTATTAAGGAAAGACACAGTCGATGAAGAATCAAAATCAATTGCACCCCTTTGCCTTTAATCCCCTCAGAGGGCAAGCATAAAGTTCTAGTTGCAGCATAATAGCTAAATAAGAAAAAGCTGAAGATTACATTTACTGTTTGGCACAAATAGACAAATGCAGACAAGACCTCTTGAAATGTTAAACTAGATATGTCCAGTTTTTTTGTTTGTTCATTAAAGAGACTTTCAAGCCTAAGCTGGTTCGACTCTAGTTATACATAAATACAAAAAAAAACTTGTTTTTACAAATTGTGGTAAGCTTTGAAACAACAGTTTGTTCAGTAGGATGAACTGTGCTGCTAATGGTCATTTCAAAATGTAGTCATAAATTATACCATTTTATTCCAGATTGAACTGGCATAAACAAACACACTAAATATAAAATGATTAGAGGCAAAAAGTCGTTGTTCATTTTTCAATCGTTAGAGTAAACACTTTCTGGATCAGCGTTTGCATGAAGTTAATGTTCCTTTCTTTGGCACAATTCTTGGACACTATGGGACATCGCTTATGCGATTCACCTTAAAAACATTGCGTTTCAATGGATCACGGTATGCTGTCAGTTTTTAGCTCACCACTGCTGACGGCATGACGCAAAAAGTTAACCAAAAAACAATGAATGAAGATTAAAAAAAAAATCCCATAAATGTCGATTTTGGAAGCGAAAACAAAAACATATTTAGGGTAAGGGTATTCGTAAAAAAATGACCCAGAACCTGTACCAAATATTTTATTCTGAGCATAACATAACTTGTGGGAGTTTTGTGTTACTTCATATGTCTTCTTCTTCTTCTTCTTCGCATTTCAAGCTTATTGCATATCGCATATTAGCTTATTGCGTGCTCTCAACTTAGTGTTCTAGATGCACTTCCACAGTTATTAATTGAGAGCTTTCGATGCCTGTACCATTTTTGCATTGATATGATTGTGTGGCAAGTCCAATCATACTTCTATGCCCAGGGAAGTCGAGAAATTTTCCAACCCGAAAAATTCATAGACCGGACCAGGAATCGAACCCAGCCGCCTCCAGCATGGTCTTGCTTTGTGGCTGCGCCTTTACCGACTGAGCTAAGGGAAGCCCCATATGTTAAGTTTACGATTTTTAGAGTTGGTTGAAAATGCTATACCAATATCAACCTGAAGCGTTAGTGTGATAATTTATTAGCCAGAGAAAGTTCTGAAGAGGATAGGTTGACGCTTTATGTTGATATTAGTATAGTATTTCAAACCAACTCTGAAAATCATAAACTTCACGTATGCAGTAACAAAAAACAATTTGAGTTTAGTTTTAAGATTTATTGTAATATATATGGAACAAGAAAACTCGGTAAAGCCTGATAAAATAATTCAGATATAAAAAATTAAGTAAACCATTCAAAATCGTTTGGATTTATTTCTTTTAAAATACACATAAATTACTCTATTCCTACATTATTCCTGACTATAAAACGCTGCTACCATCACTGTGGCTCCTTTTTCGAATGACTTGGAATGATTTCAATACTGCTGCTATCACTGGAGTTCGCATCAGCTCTCGTGCGCTCGGATCGCTGCCCTTGGTCGAGTAAGTTTCTCCTAACGTCCTCCTCCGTAACGACGGCATATCCATCCAAATCGACTATCGCTTGCTCGGGTTTGAAATAATCGTCAACAACCTTGATGGCCGGTTCGTCTTCGTCATCACTATCCTGAAGCAGCTGCTGAACGCTGCTCGGGGGTGGTCTTGCTGGCAAGGGGGGTCTGTCCCGGTCTCCCTTAAAACTGGCCATGTGCTGTATTCGACGTTTTGCGTAGGGACTGGATTCGTAGCCTTCAAAATCGGTTATCTCCTCAATGCTTCCGTTTGGGTTTAGATGTTGAAGTGGTTTGACTTTCCGTTTGGCGTACGGACTGTTTTCGTAGCTCCGGCTGTTCAAATCCTGAATCGGATCAGTACTGCGGCTGGGTGCTGAACTGGTCGGTTGATGAACGGATACTGTGATAGAACGGGATGACGTTGGGCTCGATGTGGACGGTCTGTTCGTTCGAAGGATATCTGTCGAATGGTAATGAAGTTCAGGTTCGTTGGGTTGTCCGGATGGTGTAACGGGGACGTTTGCTGACACGATTCGATTGGATGTTGGACGATCGTAGATGGGAGAGTTTTCTCTATCTACTGCATCAGTCGGTTCTTGATAGACTACCGCTCTGACGGAGAGTACATTTTCACTTCTCGATCGATTGTTCGGCCGTAGTTCAGCTCGATCGTTTTCATCGTCAGCATCGGTGCCTTCTTCGCCAGTGGATTGACGATGTCTTCGTTTCTTCTTGCGTTTGCCACGGAGTAGCAGTTCGTCGAGTGATGCGAAGGAAGCTGCATCGAGTTTTGGAAGTTGGATCGCATCTTCGTAGCATGGAGGTCTGGATTCTCGTACATCCGGAGCGTTCAGCTGTGCTTCCTGTCGCAAACGTAGCTGATTTTCACGAGCACTGCAACAGAATTATATTTTAAAATCAAAGATATTCAATGGTATTCAGAGCTGACCACTCACACTTCGCGCATTTCCTGGATGTTCTCTTGACGCTCATTTTCTGCAGCTATCTTCCTTCGGGAATCAATGAAACGCTTGATGGACGAATACAAACAGAAGAAGCCAAAGAATGCCAAGATGGCTAGCATAAAGTAGGTCCAGATTTTCTCAGTCGTTCCCATGATGTCCTGCGGATACCAAACGGATCGACAAGCTGCCTCCCAAGTGGCCCCGTAGAAGTCCTCTGGGCTTGTGCAGCGGAGATGTTTGTGGTCGTTAGCCTGTAAGCAGAGGAAACATTTTCGGTCAACTCTTCGAAGACTAAGCAAGGATGTTAGATATAATTCTGAAACAATTTAGATGTAATTTTGTACAAGTGCGTTTTTCCGGAATGTTTCTTAACTATTTTCTCTTTCCTTTTTTGATCTTTACTTACCCTCCTAGGAGGTTCGGTTAGGAAAAGATAGAATTCCAGAAATCCATTTTCCCGGCAATCACAGCGCCACGGATTATCACCTAGCCAAATTTCGCTCAGGTAGGGATTATTTTCAAAGTATTCAACTCGGAACGGAGTGGTGAACCTATTGCCAGCTAGGTTGATTTTCATCAGAGCTGGAAGTCGCGAAAACGTCGTATTTCTAATGGACGTAATTCGACACATGCTGAGATCCAGCGTCTGTAGCGTTTCCGAGGCAATATTCGAGGGGTCTTCGTAGAGCAAATTATGCGATAGATCCAGATCAATGAGCGAAGGCATCGCTCCAAGGGCGTCGGCATCGATCGAAAGAATTTCACACCAACTCATGTTAAGATGTGCCAGCGAGCTGGCTACGATCCTTTGAAGCCGTGCAATGTAGTTTCTGCTCAGGTTGATCTGCGTCAGCATTTCATTGTCCTTGAAAGTTCGCCCATCGATTCGTGGTATTGAGTTGAATGACAGATCCAGGGTTTTCATGTGCATCAACAACCGGAACGCATCATTCTGGACGAGGTTTATCGAATTGGACGACAGATCAATGTTCTCCAGCAGAGGATTGGCTGCGAAGCTTTCGCGGGTCAGTTGGCGAATCATGTTTCCTCGCAAAATTACCGTTTTTAGGTTGGGAAATCCACCTAAATCAATTGAATCCATGTTGCACAGTGACAAATTGATGCGTCTCAAACTACTTGAAGTTACGTTTCCATGCATTGAAAGTGACAGTTTATAGTTTCTTGCCAAATTCACGTAAGCCAGAGATGTCAATCCGCTCAGCGCTGTCGGTTGTAGCGTACCCAATCTGCAGTTACTCAAATCAAGAGTTTTCAAACTGTCTGATTTAATGTCAGAGATCCCGTGTATGGGATTTCCATTCAGCTTCAGCGTTTCCAAACTACTGAGTCCTAGAATTACTTCCTTTCCGGAAATTTTTGTAATCTTACAATTGCTCAAGTCCAGATACCTCACCGAAGGGCTGAACAGGACTAATGAAATATCATTGCTGGAAAAGCTGGTGAATTGGTTCTCCGCTAGGCTTAACTCTTCCAAAAATGGAGTGTTCGTCAGAAATTCGTTCGGGTAAAGGTTGGCCCAGTTGGATATGTTGTTTTTGGATAAATTCAGCTGTTTTAGTGATTTCAGACCTTCCAGTGACTGCGGCGGGAGCGATGAAATCAGATTCGACGACATGTCCAGATATCGTAGGTTTGAGAACTGCGAAAGATCCGGCGGGATGAAGGTGAATAGGTTCTCCGAGAGATCGAGGATTTGAACCTGGAAAGCAAATTTGGGTTAGCGACTATCCGGCCAAAATTTGTTAGACGAAAATCTTACATTCGTATCGGGAAAATGTGGCAGCTCTGTCAGCCCCAGCCCGGAGCAATCCACGTAAAAGTCATTGGAATCATGGTCGTGATGGCAGTGACACTCACTGGGGCAAAATTCAACTGATTTGCAATTCGGTGCCAGTGAGAACAATACCAGCAGAAGGAATCCAACTTTTAATGAGTTGGCTTCTTGCATTTTGGGCTGAAATGTTGATGGAATAAATCTGTAGCCTGTGCTTCAGTTAATAAAAAGTTCTCAAAGTTTTCCCTTGCAATAAAGATATGAATAATTTATTTGATAAAACCGCATAAGTCCATTTGATACTAATGCTGGGAAGCAACGGAAAACATAGCTGAGGTCCTACACGGCGAATGAGAACGACACAAATTTGAGTTTAATTCACTCATAATCGCCAAAAGTGCAGGAACTCAGCGATAAGTGAATTTGCCTCTTGGTTCCATGTGGAACCTGGATGGTTGTCTTTGACACACTTGAAAAAACCTGAAAAAGCTCGTGAAATTTATTAACCAGAAAAAACGGATAACGATCTAACATATTATAAATCAAATTATTTTTGCTCTAATAATACTTTTATTAATAATCAATATTTTTTTTAAATTTTTTGTTTCTCAATTTATTGATTTATTTTTAATTTATTTATTTATTTATTTGTTAATTTATTGATCAATTCATTTATATATTAATTTATTTATTGATTCATTTATCTACTTGTTTATGTATTTATTTATTTACTTAGGAGAATTTACGTATTCTCTGCAACCTAAGCAGCGACCTTCTTTCTATAGCCTTTTTCTCTAAGGAACGCACACATATGCAGTATTGGTTTGTTTACAATTTGCCAGCTGCACTAACAATTTCAGTCGAAAGAATTGTCAAAAACTGTTTTGAAACACTTTTACAAAGCTCCAATCTTCTCTAGTGAGAGCGAGTATTGTCGGCAACCAGTTTTTCTTCGGCAACCGTTCCATTTGAACTGCATGTAAATCTGCTGTTCTATTATCGGCAACTTGAAATCAGCTACAATTTTTAGTGCGTGTGTTTCATTTCAAGAAAACCTTGCTAGATTGCTTTTTCTCAGTGGTAAAAATATAGTCAAATTGAAGCTGAAAGCATAAAGAATCGTTTGCATGCATTCAGCGAAGTGTTTTCGTAAGAAAATCCAGTGAAAATAGTGTTTCAATTTGGGTTGCCGAAAAAAGTCTGGCATGCCGAAGCCGTCATTTTCCCTATGTATTTATTTATTTAATTATTTATTTAATTATTTTATTTTATTTATAAATTAATTAACTTATTAATGTATTCATTTATATATTTATTTGTTTAATTTTTTTTTCTACTTGTTTTCCGTGCTGAGGACCAATAGACAGCTCCCACACCTGGACCCTACCTATTGACTCATTAATTCATGA